AGTCGGATGCTAATGGAGACTTCAATTCAGGTTTGACATCTTTGCACTCGCAATCGATGAACATATTATCGTCTGACTTTTTTTGCAGTGCCATAACCTCATTCGTATGATTTGCCTAAAATCGATTGCATTTTAGTTTTTGACAGTATAAGAAGAGACTATTAATCAACTTATTGAACTCACGGATGATTCGAAACCCGTGAATGTTTTGTAGTCGTTGTCTTCGCCAAAGTTCGCAGAACTGTGAAAAAGGACGTTGCCATTACCTAGCCAAGTATCATTCGGTTCTTGCTTCACCCTGAGGAATAATCGAGTTTGATGAAGCACTCGTTTGAAAAATAACACGACACGAATAAAAAAAAATCCTACCTAACTGTATCCTCTGTTCGTTCCATGCTGACTCCCTTGATTATGCGCGATCACTGTAAATTTTCACGATTTGCACTGATAAAAATATTTGAGGTTAAACGCCTCGAGTAGACAAGTCTATATATTAGCGAGGAGATCCCGGCTCGCGTTTATCATAGCTTCTTGCTGATATTTCCCCCTCTATTGTCAACTAGCCTCGTGCATTAATGTACTGCTATACAAAAACAAAGAGGGATTCGCGTGTCACTACACCGAAATTGTAATGAAAACGTCATTGATTCAGGGGCACATCGCAAAATATAAGTTTTAAATTATTCACCTTAAAGAGAAATATATATCGCCTACGCCAATACAGTGCATAATGGTAATACGTATTTTCATATATGATATAATAGACGATGAATTCAAAAAAATCCTTATTGAGTCTTCAGTGAGTTCAGGAAAAAGGTTCTATAGAGCTTTTTTCCTAACTCTTAATTTTAAGGCACGGATTTAATATATTTTCATATTATGTTGATTATTTACAATTAAGAGAGCGTGTATAAAAATTTTCAATTTATTCATTATTTCAATTTTAACTTTTTTTATAGATTATTTTTTTAGATTTTTAATTGGAAGGTAAATTAAACATAACACTTAAAATTATTAAAATGTACAATATTTTGATTTGAAATACTTTTTTCTATAAAACATTGTGAACTAACTTACTAACTCTTTTTTTAATTATTATAATAAATTTTTATTGCAATATTTCACAGCAAATTATATTTATATTTTGAAACAGACAGTATTTTTATTTTCTGATCAAACACTAATTTTATTCAACAACAATTAATATTTCTACTTAATTAGCGGTCGTCGAACGTGAACCCTTCGAATTCTTATATGTGAATTCAATCTCTACTACTGAAACTTCTCAAAGGACCAGCCTATCCAGTGACCATACTCGTAGAAATTATATACTTCTACTGAATTTTGAAAAGTAAACAGATTGTAAATCTTGATTGTCATCAAACTTCAAAGGCAAAATAAATTACATTATTGAAAGCGCTTATACATTAAAATTTTTATTATTTAAAAATTATAAAAATGAGAGATTTGCTTCATCCGTAGTCCGAATCGGGAATGAATGTCAACTGTTCTAATTGCAAAATGATAAGTATTCTTGTCGGTATACTGCGTTTATGCCTTTGACATTGAATATTGAAAAAAAAATGTTTTAAAATTTTTTTATTTCATTAGAACAAAAAGTTTTCGTTAGTTTTCAGTCCATGATGTTTCATTTTAAAAATTTGAACTTTTCTACGTGAAATGTTTGGCTATCCAATCGCGTGTGAATACCACATTTTTTCTTCTTTATCGCTCTGTACTTCGTTAAATCCAAGATGTAGATTTGTACTTCTATCGCGATGTAATCGCAATCACCGTTGTTCATCATCTCTGCATCATTTATCCATATTCAAGTCAAAAATAGAAAGTCGCTTCTAATCGGGTCGATCAGTAATTGTTCGACGCACACAAATTGTTTTATATTTTGCATAATTCCTATACGCTTTGCGAAGCGAGACTCGACCCATCGGTATTATAAATTAATGCGGTACGCATTGTGCACTGCTACTGCTGCTCCTCGATTTTCCATATCGAATCGTGCGGTCTCGCGTTGGCTCAACATTTTTTTTTCGGGTTGAGAGAGAGAAATCGAATTGCCCAAAAGATCGCGGGATTTTATGGGTCAAGTGCTCGCTATATAAAAATTGCTGTATAGAGGATACCCTGCAGGCACGTGTGCCGGCCGCTCACTCCGATCTTGTAACGCACTCCGCGGACTCTTCCTGTTTTTTTTTTCTTCTTTCGTATAAAGCGTCGTACGATGCACCACAGATCATCCACCGCGCGGCTTCGAATTTTTTTCTCTCACTCCATTTTTTTGATTTCTTTGCAATAATTCGCGCTCGAAGAAAGTAAAACGTCTCCTCTCCTCTCTTCGCGCGCTCGCACATCCTCCGCACGACGAAGACGACTTTCATCCGCATCGCATTTTTCTATACGTACGTTTTTTTTCGGCAAGAAGTGTTTTATTGTTCCTCGAGAGACGGGCATAAACACTTTCCTCCTCGTATACACGTACACGTAGAGCCATACGTATTGATAAAATTCGTATATATCCGGAAAAAGAAAGAAGCGTTTAAATTATGCCAGGAATGCGACGTACGTATACGAAAAAGACAACGGGGCGTAATTACCATGGCAATTAAAGTCTCCGTAGGAAGACAGCCAGCCTCGGAAATGAAGTTGTTTCGCGATCGTTGAATTCTGACAAGTGCGCGGCGGCGTCGCGGCACACATACGCCGCAGAAGCAACAATGCGAGCGATGATTCGACAGGTTTTTTTGTTGTTGTTGCCTCTTTTCTTTCGAAAACTTCGATATGTACACGAGAATAGAGCAGCGCACACGATAACGCGCGCGTATTATTATTGCGCGTCTAGCGCGTGTGTACTCGAACTTTCGCTTTATATGCGCTCTTATTTATTATCATTATTATTATTATTATCGCAGTGCAGTGTGTGTCTTGCAGAGTCACTAACGAGTGATAATTCATCCCCGCGTCCACGAGAGAGACCCATTGAAATTGTTATAGATTTAGATTTACGATTGTGTGTTTTGACCGCGACGGGGGCCATTTACATTGAAATAGCCTCACATAGCGTGCCCCGATCGTTATACAGAAGAGAGGCACAAAAAAAAAAAATAAAAAATTGGCACAAGCTCGCGACTGTGTATACTTCGGACTTAATATATTGGATGCGGCGATGTATGGATTTATCCCAGAAATTCAGCGCCTGTGTAATAATCGTTACGCTTATTATATTACATGTATACCTGTTGTACGTATCCTTTGACCGGAGCAAATTGTAGTTTTCTAATTCGAGAAAATTATCATGCTCCTCATGATTATTATTTTTTTTTTAATGTAGTTGTTGATCGCAACCGTTAATAATACACGTCCGATAAATCGGATCAACGATCTGTACGAATATTTTCGTTGTTGTCGGTGTTCTAGAAATTATACCACTTATACTATATATCGATCTGGGACATACCGAAAGTGTCAAAAACAACACGCGCGTACTCGCTCGAACTCGAATTATAATTACATTATTATAATCGAAATTCACTCGTCGTCATCGTAGATAAAGCAAATATTTTGACAGCTCGCTTGCGCGCGTATACACCCGTGAAAAAAAAGCTCCACGAATTCCTCTTATTTATCTTTAATTTTCACGCTAATTTCTCGCAACGTCTACGATACACGCGCGGGAAAATTATCAGCAGCTCGCACTCGTGTACGTATATAGGTGCACAGGCGCGCGATTGCACCACACGCGGACGCGCAGCAGCAGCTCGAGGAAAGAGAAGAGAAGGAAAAAAAATATATAAAGGGGGGTAATTATTGCGTAAATCTCATAAGAGCATTTTCTCGTACAGCATACTCCTTTCCTCGCTCGAATACAGGCGCTGGCGAGATTTATATTAGAGCAGCGAACGAAAATTGGTACACTCGGCGACGGCGGCGGCGACGAAAAATTTTTGAAAACTTTCCTCGTACACTGTATACGTCGAATGTAAACACTGCTGTACTTAATACTACTACGACAACGTCGCGTTTTCTGTGTGATCCGATGTTATATATACACGTTATACGTATACCTTAACCCATCGGGGATCAAAAAAATTCCGTTAATACACAGCTTTCTCTCGTACACTCATATACATGCCATATGATGGGTTTGCTCTGGATTCTGCTTGCCTCGCTCGCGCGCCCGAAAATTGAAAGCCGCGAAAAAATGAGAACTCGCTCCGCTCTGCAGTGGAGCTGCAATAATGCAAAAGAGAGAGAGAGATAATATGTGAGTCAGGTTGAGTTGCATCATCGCGAGAGTGCGGAATGACATAAAGTGTCATAAGTCATTTATTGCGAGGGGATGGAATTAAAAAATTGATACACCCACTCGTCCAAAAACGTAATTCCCCATACGTTACTCCGAAAAAATCGGTACAACCGATCGACCCTACGTATACAGAAAACGATCGGCTCGTCGCTTCCGATTAATAAAATCGGTCTCCACTCCGTATACATACGGCGAGAGAGAAAGATGAGTATTTTCCGCAACGGTAGTAGTGCACAAGGCACATATATACTCGAGCTGCAGCAAGCGGCATATAATACATTTACGTTCACTCGCTGCTGCTGCTGCTGTTGCTGCTTCTCCCCGCCGCCGAGCTTGTGTGTACTTACTCTCTCGCGGCCGCAGCCGCGGCAAAGGCAGTAAAACTCCCAGAGGTCTTCGCGATCGGTTACAGTCTTGTGAGATACCTCGACGCGGCGCGCGAAGCCCAAGTGTGCCTCCTACATATATACGTACATACGTATATACAGTACGCGAGCGCCTCTTTTCTCCCGTGGAGAATATATACCCGGAAAGGCAAAAAAAAAGGAATAATCGAGAGGAGTTAAAAACTTTCCATTTTCTGCGGCCGTTCCGCGGCAGAAGAAAAGGGACGAGGGAATTGTTAACGGTGTACCCTTTTTTTTTTCAAACTTTAAACTCAGTGAATCCTCGCCTTTTTTCGGTTTTTCGCGGACCATCTTCGGACGTCGTCGTCTCTCTCGTATATAATATAAAAATAGTACATTATACATAGAGAGAGAGATCGGTGGGTGTCGCGCCACGATGTGGCGATCAAATAATGTGAGCTTGTTGTGCTGCTGCCTCGTCGTCCTCGTCTCGATCCAGCATCACGAGGTCAACGCCGAGGCCGGCCCGTCTTACCTGTCGTCCGATGTCTCGCCCTACGTCCAGCAAGTGAGTTGACGATATTTTTTTTATATACTTTTGGGCTTTTATACACACACACCGTCGTATATGAAAATGAAAATGAAAATGAAAATATTGATAAAGATCGGTGGTGGTCGTCGCGTGCGTGTGTACTCGACAATTAGCATTGAATCGCAGCCACAGCAGCAGCAGCCGAGTCTCTTTATATGCGCGGCTAGCCGCGCGACGCTATAAGAGAAGATAAAGATCGGTACGGTGCCGCGCATTGTATTATTATTTATAAACACGTGTTAATGCGCAGCTGCGCGCGACGCGCCAGCACAAGAAAGCGCGCAGAGATTCGTATATATACGTGTAATAAAAATTAAAAAAAAAAAAAAAACAAACGTATATAAAAATCGAGCCGCGCGCGCATGCATAGACTGTGAGACCATACCGATCTCCGACGCGTCGAGACGTGCTTTTATTATTTCAACCCGTGATAAATCGTCTTTTCTCTCTCGCTTCGCGAGTTGACGATAATATACGCTCGTAAATTTGATCCCTGCGCGCGCGTGGTGCACATTGAAAAGCATCGATATATACGAGCCGAGGGGAGACACGTACAGCAGCCTCGTGAAAGCTGCTGCTGCTGCTGCACTGCTGTTGCTAAAACTTAAGCGCCGCGCAGGAAATTGATGGCACCTCAAGCCGTAACGTTGTATACACAGACACACATATATATACGCACTGTGCTGCACTTTATGCTCGTTGAGCTTGACACAGGTTGTTTCACGCGCGCGCGCGCAAATGTGTGTACGTGTGCGTGGGGGAAGAAAAAAAACTAAATAATGTCTGCAACGATCTATTGGAATCGATCGTGGGAGAGTCCGCCGCTCGAGAGAGAGAGAGAGAGAGAGAGAGATCGTTATATATCGATTAATTGATTTATATTTATTACATGAATTATATACGTACGTATAAAGGTACAAATGGGCGAGATCGATTTGTGGAAATTCACACAATGCGTCTGTGTCATTGACTATCTATATAATATGTGTAATACGTAAAGCTCGATCACCGCTGCCGCCACCCGAGAGTGAAGGCATGAGAGAGAGAGAGAGCATTTAAATTCGCAAACTATATCGTCGACGCGAATAACTGACGTAACTATATATATCTCTCTCTTGCTTTGTATATCTCTGCGCACTTATCTCTCTCTCTCTAACTTGACTCTATGGTCAGTCAGAGTCTTTGCCAACTTTCCCATGGAGTTCGCTGTTCGTGTGTAGCGCATGTAATACCCATACACCTCTATGTATCTCGTGTGCATTATAATGCGTTAAATCAATTTGGCGAGCTTATATCAGCTCACGTAGTCCGGCTTTGAGAGGCGTTTTAATTTTCGGGGCCTGTATGAACGCGCGCTAGAGACCACATATAGGATCGGCGGTAGCTGACTTTCTATTATGAAATTCGCGATCCAAAAGACGACGAGACGAGGAGAGTACGAGGCTGCGATATACTTTATAAAGCCCCCCCGAGAAATTCGACGTGTCTTTTATCGCGGATGTGTGTGTGTGTGTACAAACGCGTCGAAACAATAGGTTCATCGCGCCGCGAGAAAACGATGTCGCACCTCTCTCGATATACGAGGAATGAAAAACACACGTATGTACGTAGGCACTATTTTATATTTACACACACACGTGTCGCTTTACTCCTTTCTTTCAAAATTTCGAAAGCTCTCGACGCGACGCGATCGACCTATAATGTCCCATATTCCGATTTTCAATCGAACTTAATAATAATAAGATAATATTTTTTTTTTGAATGGTAACCGCGCGAAAATTGAATAAAATCGACGGTGTCAATCGGTATACATACAACGGTTGTAAGCCCCGCATTATTATATTAAAGCTCGCGCGCGCGCGCGCATTATATACGTGACGCAACGCGGCGACGTACACAAACACACACACTCGCAACGCAACACAAATATATCGCCGCGCGGTCTATATTACCGTTTTTCCGCGCGATATTAATCGGAATACCCATACGTATACAGGCAGGCGGGCAAAAAAAAAAACTATTGCCGAGAGAATAATCGATCTGCGATTGGTATCTATCTCTCTCTCTCTCGGCGAGGAAAAGGTTCTGACAAGTCACACGCGCGTATATACGTATAACCCCGCGCGCGCCGCAATAGGTCGTAGGCTTCGGCAGCAGACACACACAGCTGATATTTATAAAACCCGTACGTGTACGAGTACGTATTGGCGATCAGTCAAGTTACATATATATATTGTACGTGTGTGTGTAAAGTATATATCCCAAGGTTCTGTGAAAATATCTAAGCGTTCCCATGGACTCGACTCGCCGCGATCGCCTAGTAGTGGTATTATTATAATAGCCCGTGCGCGCGCCGCATATACGAGAGAGTCAAGTCGATCCTTCGCTATACACGATCCGCCCAGTGCGATAATGTCCATAGAGGTAGATATATATAATGCCGATCTCGCGCGTGCGATCGGTAATACACCAATGCGTAAATGTCTCCGAAACTTTTTTTTTTTCGACTTTTCCTCCTTTTTTTCAACCACGCACACACGTACGTTTATATTGTCGCGCTTGAGCCGTGTGTAACTTATAGGCCTGTACACCTATTTTTATTTCATTTATTATACATACATTTATGCATTGTGTGTGTGTGTGTGTGGCAGCATCGGATCGGAGTTATAAATCCTCCGTTCGAGAGAGAGCTATATGTAATAGGTACAGGCAAAATTTTCTATAGGCGTCGATACGTATCCGAGCGGGAATGAGAGAGAGAGCGACGATAGATCGGCAATTATTATTGTATTTTATTTTATTTTATGTATACGTTATTATATTATATGCTCACGAGAGTGTCGTCGATCTTATCGAGAGCTAATGTATTTATGGCTTTTACCGCATAGTGGAAGATAATATATATAGGAGAGCAATAATGTAGGAAAAAAAGGGCAAATTAGGATCTCGATCTTCGATACGTAATTTACGAGCGAATGTGACAAAAAATCGGTTTCTAGCGACGATTTCGCTATTAATACAGTCCACACATAATAATAATCATCTACATGTCGTCGCCGCGACGATGAAAACTAATATGGCACATGACCCTGCGCCAGTGGCTCGGGTTTGTCAATACATTTACATATATATGTACGCGCCGATCGTGAATGCAATGCAATGCAATACTCTCGTGTGGTGCCATAATAATTGTATCGCGTTGCTTATGCGCGAGAGACTACTCGCCTCGCCCCCGCCTCTTGTTTTCTTTTAATTAATTAATTTATTTTTTTTAAAAGAAACCTCTTCAAGTGCGTCGCCGTGGTATACGCGATTCAAACTGTAGATGTCGCATCGCCGAATACCCCCAAGCGATCGAATGCGATCTCTTTATAAATACGAGAGACTCTTCCGCAGTAATGTATCGTTTGGGTAATTTTTTAACTGTCTGTTCAATATTTATCCAATCGTTATACGATTTCGAGTTCTGTACAAACACCGCGACGGTGAATCCACTGCAGTGCTCTTATATATATACGCGCGCATCGAACGTAATATTTATATTCTCGCGCGAAGAAAGTGATTATCCACTTACGTATAATAATATTTCCCGCGTGGGACGCACACCTCGTATATATATATGTATAATGTATCGGGATGCAGCTACAAGACGACAGAGGCTCGAGAGCCTGCGACAGAGAGAAGAGCTGCCTTACGAAATCGTTGCGAAATTGAGCCGCGCGCGACGCCTATATTTAATACGGAGCAACGACAGCAGCGTAACGCAACCAGGAAAAGAATATCCGAATCGTTATTTAATCGCGTCGCACGCGTATACACAGTAGCGGCAATAGAGATCCACCCACCCCGCAAGCGAGCGAGTTCGTTCGTTCGTGCTCGCTCTGCGCGCGATACAATGTATATAGGCAGGCATGCGAATATTATTACATATTAATACGCGCGAATAGCGTATCAAGTCGTCTTCTTCTTTTCTTTCTATCGAGTTTTTCTCACGTCTAATTGACGCCCGAGTAGAGAGACGTTGTACAAATATTCTCCATTTCCGCGTTTATAATACGCCACGCGCGCACTCGCTTATTATCGCACACACACATACGCGTACGCATACGCGAGAAAGTCTTTTTTTTTCTCTCTTCTCTTTCCTCTCGATGCGTCGCTTCTCTCGTACATATATACATCCATGTCGCGTAATACGGGACGCAGACATTGTATCGAGAGCGAAAAATTTCCCACCCGCGCGAGCTTATAGTACTTACATATAAAAGTAATATATGCATAATGTAAGCAGCAGATATCTGTGCTTTATAAACATATATATGTACTTGTGCAATGACGCGAACGGAACGAACCCTTTCTCGCGCGCGGTAAACATTATTTTTTTCCTTCTTCTTCTTCTTCCACCGCATGTCTTCCCGATAAAATACCTTTCACCGCCTTCTCTCTAAATGTGTGCGCGGTGCAGTGCAGCAACACGCGACGCGGGTGGGGAATTTTTCGCATAACAAACGCGCGTGACCGATATTTATCGGATATATGTATATAAGACACAGTGCGAGAATTTGCCAGTGAGAGATCGGTACGCGGATGATACCGATTTTTTTTTTTTTTTGTGTTGTTCTCGCGCCGGGCCGAAGCATTTCCTCTTTCTCTCTCTCTCGATCGATCGAAGGCTTGGCTCCCGAGGGGCAAAACTGTATACTAACGGCGACCTTTTATCCAATATATTCATATCGTTTTATTATTATACGCGTACTTGTATGTATCCGCAATTGCCGCGTGCATATAATATTACTTTCATCTATTTTTTTTTCCTTTTTACATATCCTCGCGTATATTATGTGTACACCGGTTCACGATCGACGCGTTAGATTTTCTCATGGGCATGCCTGCCTGCATCGGCGCATTGTGAACCGCGCGTTATGCTCTCGGAACGTCGCTGTGTATGTATAGTGTGCCTCGCGAGTTCAAATGAATTA